TCCAAACACCAGGCCAATACTGAACATAAAACCTCCAGAAGGAAAATCAACTCAAACCTGTGTTTGTTACATTTCCAGTTTGGTGAAGAACCGACTTCAAAGAAAATAAATGTTTTGTCTTTTATGTCACTCTGCTGATGAAATCAATCAACAAAAGGACAAAAGATCCAACCAGCTGGAGGTTTGGGGTAAACGTCTTCATCTGTTTTTAGGTTGGCCTTTGACCTTTGACCTTTGCACAAAACGTTATTACAAGTGCACCGCAACAACCTCTGCTTCCCAGCGGGACACCCGTCTGTCTTAGTTTTAGAAACCTGTGACATCATGACCATAATCTCCACTCTTTTTTAAGTCAAATATAAACTTTAACCCTTAAATTTCCAGTCCCAGAAATAAAGTTGGATGAAGTCGTCGTTCTGACAACGTGAAACGACCTCACAGACTGTAAACTGTTAGAAAGAGCTCAATGTTGCAGTGTCCTTGTAATAGTATTCTGTGCACTGGTCAAGACACTTTGTTTCTCTCACATTATCCTTCATCTTTGCTGACTTTGGGACAAATTACGCCCCCTCCTGGCTAAACACACCTCTGCTCTAACTGTGAACCACTTCCTGTCTTTAACACAAAACAACCACCACCTTCACGTGCGCTGTAAATAAAAATACATAATAGAACACTAGGTGGCGTCTGATGATGACAAACTGATGAAACACTGTCACATGTTTAGATCCACTAGGTGGCGTCTGATGATGACAAACATGTTTAGATTCTTCTTCACTCTGACCTTCAGCTCGTCTTCATCCTCCTCTTCCTCCTCACTCTGCTCACATCCTGGTTCAACCTGTCTTTAATTCCTTCAACCTCAGACATTTGTCTCTCTGAGATCCTGGTCGCCCTCGTGTGAAGCTGTGACTGGTGGGGGGGTCACTGACAAGGTGATGGGGTAAAAACAACGTCTCACTGTAAAGACTAGGAATGGCTTCATGTCAACTTGGACCATCAGCCGGTACCGACATGTCCGCGGCTGCCGGTTCTGGTTGTTCTGTATCAGGTATCGGATCAGACGGGTTAAAGATTTTTTTAGATGTTCGATCCTGAAATTTTGACCAACATTGGACTGGTACTGATCGGAGTGTCGAAAAAACTAGCCGTCAGTTTCCCAAGTTATGATATTATTTAGAGAAATCTAGCTAGCTGTCTTAGTTCCCGTAGCTATCCTTTAGGTACCTGGGTGTTTGGTTTTTATTCACTTTTAGCTATTAAGCTAACTAATAGCATATTGAACATCATTTGCTGAAACGTTACTTTTGTGCTAATGCTAATGCTAATGCTAATGCAGTGACTTCTGAATCCACTGCATCCAGTTCTTCCACACCTTCCACTGTAGTTTTCATCGAATCCTAGTTTCCTAAACGTGGGCTCTGACCACATGACCATGTGATTCCTGACCAGGACGTGACCCAGAATGTCAGGTTGCAGAGTCTGGCGGAGTTCAACTGGCATCTCATTTCACAGAATACTTTTAAATACTTCATATCAGTACAACACAGACGCAAAATATTAAACAACTCAAAAAAAAAATAGTAACAGCCAATCACAGTCCTGGAGGATTAGACCACGCCTCCACACCGGCGTTAAGTTCTTCATGGTTGATCTCGGATCTTCTTCATCATCAGACACGCCCACTTCTCTGTCCTTTTTTCCACAGAGATTAACCCCCCGACAGCAGCTGGATTAACCCCCCCTCTCCCCCCACACCGCCCCC